TCAGTAGTGAAATTTCTGAACAAACTGAACCGATTCTCGATATTTTATGAATGATCTTATGGTAATAAATAGGATTTAAATAGAACTGTTATTATGCAATAGAAGAATAAAGTTTTGAACTTCTTCAGAAATAGATTCACTATTAAATATCAATAACTTTATTTCAACGAATTGTTAGTGTAGTGAAGGAGAACACACAAGTGGGGGGACAATCGAATGTATTTGAATACAAAATTACAGAACATCTTAGTAAAATCTAAGAATTATACAGTATATACTTCATTTGTAAAATGTCAATCAATTGACTGTTTCTTTGTTTCTACACCAATCATTCTCTGTTCTCGTTCTGTTTTCTTCGATCTTCTTAAGCTTCTACCATACCAGGCATTTTACTTTTGATTGATGATACATACTACTTATAGCTGTCGACATCAGTAGCACACACTACATTAGTACACCAATGTGTATATTCACCAAATAGAAGCTGCTGTACATAGTAAGTAATGTAAGTGGTCTTATCTCATCTAAGCTACTGGTAAAAAGAACCTAGTGTCTGTAAGACAATTCATGAAGTTCAATGCACACTAATTGGACTAAATATCTAATTGCTGCTCATTTTGAAGGTTAATGATGAAGTAACTTATTACTGATCATATTGTCACATTCAAGAGTATGAGCTTTTTAGGCATGAACTAATTATAATGCACATATCAAGAATGTCGTCAAAATTGACCTTTGTTACTCAATTCATCCATAAGAATGACGATGAAGTCTTTCTACCAAGAAAATATTGATTCCTAACTTTTAGGTCCCATACAACATCGATTATTCCAAAACGCTTATGTCTTTGTAGATGCATCACTCTCATAGTTTACTTATATTCTTCTTATACTACTAACTAAAAACCACCTTGAGTTTACTAACCTTTGATAACAATACTGTACCCCAAAATGCTACCACTTATAATTATGTATTTTGTTAACTTCCCATTGTTAAAATCTTGGTGAGAAATGTTCAATTAAAGTAAATTAGGAATCATTACTTTTCAAATAATGTACAATTTTTTGTATTGGCCTAACAATACTCATAAGCTGATGTTCATTTTATAATTATTGTCAGAATAAATGGTATATTGTCATTATTAGTAAATATCGTCATTTTCATTTTACTTGTGTGTGGACTGTGATACTGCCCGGGTGCCCAAACCGAAACAGGTGGATTTCCTCGGAGGCCACACCCCGAGCCTTCGACCTGAAGATCTGATCCACAAGACAGTGGATCATCATGAGGAGATGCAGTTCAGTCCCATGGTAGCCGGTGACCAACGGTTGGTTCATACGCCGTTTGTACCTTCAGGATATTGGAGCCCATGTGCACCGTTGGTTTGGGATCCGGTTAAAGCGCTGGACATTCGATTTATTAGGATTTGAAAACGATGACATCCGATTAATTAAAAGAGCTAATGGATGAATGAGAAGATATTTAAACAGGAAAACGACCTGAACAGGATAGTACGCATATTTCCTTAGCTTTGTATCTCTACGGGTACAAAGGACACTTGATAAAAACTCTTAACTATCAAATATGTACTATATGTTCTATCAATATAGTTGGAAAAGAGGTAAACACCTTGAATAATACACTTGGGGAAAACAGGTACCCCGGGAAGTTTATAAACAAATATATGATCACAAAGGTTAGAAATAAGTGAAATACAAATGGTGAATGAGAAATTCCCATTCATTTGCTTAACTCAGAGGTAATTCAGTCAGAGAAATATCACTTCAGAGATTGCATACAACAATCCAAAGAATATTCAACGTTAGAAAGGTAAAACTAGTGTTTTCTACTCTTCTGAAACTCAAAGATGAATTATCTGGAGTGATCACTTCGTTTTGTATTTATCAATTTGACCGCTCTTGGGAGCAAGTTATATTGGTCAAAGTTCTGAAATTCGTGTTCGCAAACATCTCCCAGAATGGCTAAATAAAAGTATAGAGTGAACAGCTCGTTACTAGCTATCTAGTGTAAACTAGTCACAGTGCCAGTATAAGCCAATCCTTCCTAATAATATATCGGATCAGTAAACTTTCTTTCAACTCAAATTCTTTCAAACGATAGTCATTAGGATCAGAAAACCGCAGATGCGTAAGAAAGAAAAGGTCTTCCGCCGCTCCCCTTACCTTGGCCAACATCAGGACCAGTTAATCACTAATCTTAGCAGAAAGGAAACTAGTTGATAACCGAAATTTTAATTTCAGTAGGTGTTCTGTAACTTTAAGGTATCATTGAATGACAGTAAGTCATTTCAGTGTAAAGTATAATCATTCCAAAGTTTAGTGAACTTTCAATGTATTTAAGTTTTTATCCAACTTTAGCAATGTGACTTTCCTTATCTATGACATGAATGAACAACACTAGTTATACCTTTTCACTGAAAAATCAGGAATTTATCTCGAAGCTATTCTCTAGTTAGATCATGTCAATCACTTATTTGTAAAGGTTAATTCAATTGCAAAAAAAAAGATTCTCTTTGTAGCCGGTAAGTCACTGTAAACAAAGAATCATTAAAGAAATGTCCCGTCTTAGCTTCACAATTCACAGCAATAAACAAATACAATTTGATAGGGAATCGAAACCCGGAAATTTTACATCTATCGTGAATCTTGATCAAGTACATTTCAAACGCGTTATTCCTAAGTTAACTAAGCACTAATCAGTCCTATCTAAACCATATCTTGTATATAATTTAAGTCTAACTCATGAATTATTGTCCTGTTGTAAGAAAAGTTTCGCAAAACACAAAACGTTCAACATCATGAACTTGCTTACTCATTGCAAATTTTATTTCTTGCATTTTTATTACACTACTAGCCCTCAAATGCCCTGGTACGGCCGAAAGTGGGGAGAGTCCGCTCTCCCTCTCGAAATGCTCTCACATAGCCACAAGTATATAACCTCTGCCGGGGAAATCCTAATCACTGCCTTCTCGTGGTACGGGGGTTGTTTACGAAATTGAGAGAATGAAAAGCGAATGTCCGGCGCTTTAACCGGGTTGATGGACATGGAGAGTCCATCTAGAGAAGTTGGAAAACCCTGATTCCAAACCAGTGGAGCACATAGGCATGGGCTCCAGTATCCTGAAGGAACAAATGGCGTATGAACCAATCGTTGGTCACCGGCTACCATGGGACCGGACTGCATCTCCTTACTATGCTCCACTACCTTGTGGGTCAGACCTTTAGGTCAAAGACTCCAAATGTGGCCCCCTAAGAAAACCACCTGCTTCGATTTGGGCACCCGGGTAGTATCACATCCCTCACACAAATCAATTGAGATTTGTGTGGCGCATATGTATTTGGTGCCTCCTTGTACCAATATTTATGTGTTAAAATAAATAGATAATAAATATCACACTACTTATAATAGTGGTAAGTAGTCTGATAAATATATTCATTCATTTATGTGCTACTCGTATGTTGTACGTTGTAGTATTTCTACCACTGTAATGATAAATCTGTTTCACCTTCTTATAATCCTTCTCCAACTTGTCATAGATAGTATTTCGTTGTCTTTTCCAATTTTTAGCTTTTCTTGTGAGTAACACTTTGAAATTTCTATTCTGAACAGTTAATCGATCTTCTTAATATCGCAGTTAACAAACTAATTTCAGATACATAATAAGTAGAACAATTCAGTTGATTTGAACAAAGTATCAATCATAAACAAAGTAAAACTTGGAACAAATATGATTCTATCCAAGAAGGTATACCATATTAGAATAACGAGATAAAATTAACAAGGTCTTTAGGTATAGAATAATCAAAGTTATAATGATAATTTCTATAATGATGATCAGTCAATCAGTCAGCCACAACGTAGGACCAGGCACATATATGCATCGGTCCAAGTTGCCATAATGATGGAAAATTTCATAAATCTTTTCAGTTATTGGAATCATTGTCTTTGATTTGTTCACTTTTATCATTCTTACACAAGCCTAAACCAAACAACAAAGTTGATTGTTAAGATGGGAGATAGTTAGACGTATGAACCGTTTCACTCTAACCATAAAACGTAAAAATTAGAATTCAATAATCTCGATGATTGACATTTAGATAATTCCAGAGTTTCGTTTGATCAATTATTTCGAACTTCTTCAAGGGAAACACGATCTAAATCAACAATATATATATATATATATATATATATATATATATATATAACATGAGGCGAGATCGTGGATGGGCACTGTTGAGGAGTCCCACAATAGGACAAAACAGCCATCCAATACTTCCAGGTTTTCCATGATTTTATTTATTTATTTATTTTAACACATAGGTATCGGTACACGGAGGCACCAAATACATATGCGCCACACGAATCTCAATTAATTTGTGTGAGGGCTGTGATACTGCCCGGGTGCCCAAACCGAAACAGGTGGTTTTCTTAGGAGGTCATACCCCGAGCCTTCGACCTGAACGTCTGACCCACAAGGCAGTGGAGCATCGTGAGGAGATGCAGTCCCATGGTAGCCGGTGACCAACGATTGGTTCATACGCCATTTGTTCCCTCAGGATACTGGAGCCCATGCCTATGTGCACCATTGGTTTGGGATCCGGTTAAAGCGCCGGACATTCGATTTTCGTCCTCTCATTTTCGTAAACAACACCCGTGTTGCGAGAATGCAGTGAGTAAGACTTCCCTGGCAGAGGCTATATACGCATGGCTATGTGAGAGCATTTCGAGAGGGAGAGCGGACTCTCCCGACTCTCGGCCGTACCAGGACATTTGGGGGCAGTTTACCATGATGGTGTAGCTTCAATTGACTCATGATTTATATTACTCAAATATACTTTCAGATCATAAATAAAGATAATGATAACAATTACTTATTGTTCTCTAATAACGATAGTATACAGATACATTCACAAACACACACACACACAGAGAGAATTACTGACATCTATAACATGGATAAACAATTACTACATCAGTTGGTTTCATTAACCTATTATAAACAAAAGTGAATTTTTACTGGATAAGCTTTAAGCGTAATTTTATTACATTGATGAAGTCTTGGCACTCAAGGTCAATCAGCAATCAACAGATATATTGAAATTGATCCAATTTATCAACCAATCAGAAAAACTATGGACAAATATAGGACCAAGAATCAAATCAATGGAATATACAATTAAAATAAAGTGAATAATGTGATATGCTTGAAGCGGTGACGAATTCACCTAATCTGAGAACGGAACGAAGACTCTGTGATATAATAACCAATAAACTAGCTATTCCGATGCGTACCAGCCCTGCTAACTAGAGAGAGAAGTCCAAGTTCAGAAGAGGGAAATATATTCCACAAGCAACCAGAAGCACGAACAACAACAACAACAACAACAATCACAAATCAAGAGTATATATACAGCATAAAAATATCCTTGAGAAGCATTACAAAATAGCACACTAAAACATACAACAAACCAATAGTATTTAAGATCCCTCCAAGCAGAAAATACAACATAAAGGCGAAAATGAACGTTTTTGGCGCGAAAACAAGAAATCCAATTTTTTAAAATAGAATTACAGAAATAAGATATTTATCAAGTGAGTTCTGAGGATCTAACATCTTCAACACAATCACAGGTTAAAAGTGAACAGTAACCAATCAAGATCAAGGTCTACAAAACAAGCTATGACTCATGTATGTGAAGAAATTCGAACACTTTACTTCTACCTGAAGTTTTTGCTAATGTTGTTCAGAAAAAAGAAAAAGAACACAATAAAAGCACCACGACATACCTATCCAACTCAAAGAACAAAATTCCATCAAAATCATTCGCCTAAACTACAAATCTTCTCCCATTATCTAAACTTTATGATTTCTATATTTATTTCTTTGATCATGTTGAGATGGATCACTTCCTTTTAAAGAACTGAAGACCAGTTTTACCAAGGTATAAAAAAAAACATTAGAACTATTGAAATTGAAATCAATCAACCAAATTATTTGAAACATTTACTACCTTTTAGATATTCAATGTTGAATTCCTGTTGAAATCTTGACGACGACGACGACAACAACAACAACAACAACAACTTGAATACTTAAATCATTACATCACATGACTCAAAGTACCACCACCATTATTGTTTACAAATAAAAATAAAAGAACATAAAAAACAGTCGAGGGGGGGAGAGGAGAATGAAGGGGTGGATGGGTATAAAATTTAATTTTAATCACAGCTACAAGCTTTATTCATATGGAAACTATACAAACAAACAAAAATTACATGAAACATATTGACTAGAAGAATGAAAAGTACAATCATACAATGAAATATCTATGTAAGATGTTTGTTCTATTATTTTACAACAGATTATTTATATAATAATAATAATATAAATGAATTAAACTAGCTTTTTAATTTCGGTAAATGAATTGATTGAACATGACTACGTAGAAATGGACGCCAACCACGAATGATTTGTTGATTTTGAATAAGATAACGTTGACATTCATACCAATTATGAAAAGAATTCGATTCATTAGCACCAATTAAATTTGCACCATGTAAAGCCATAACACAACCGGTTAACTAGTGGAAGAAAAATATATTGATAAGATAAGATATAATATTAATGATAGTCAATAATAATATTCTTAAACTATTATGTGTAAAAATTCACTACTATTCAAGAGTTAATGATTATAATAGTTGAGATCATGAGTTAATTGAAGCTAGATGAGTTTGTTCCGTCCTACTTTATGGCAGTAAAATATGACCGGTAAGAGTAGAGGATATTCGTAGGTTACTAGTATTTGATTATAATGTATCTTTGAAACATTGCTTGTATATCCTGGGACCATCGAGTAAGCAAATCAGTTGTTAGGAAACGGGTAGTCTGAATCTTCTAACATGGCTCAGACCAGAAGTTAGTGACTTCATCACCAATGATTAGAGACTCTGTGTGACATAGCCCAGAATCAATCACAATGGTGCAGGTGTATACACTCTCTGTCTTCCCTTAAACTGTGAGATTAAAATTGCTTTATATCTTTTTTCCTACCAACTAATTTTTCCTTCCTGTGTTACATCCTTCTCTGCAATCTTTCTTTTATATATTACCACCATTGAATTAACTACTTCTATGAATTTGGTGTTCATCTTGTTGTGCTAATGAGTAAGGTGTGGTGACTTGGACCGATGCACATATGTGCCTGGTCCTACGTTGTAGCTGACTGACTGACTTAAACAAACTAAACAACACAAAATCAGTTTTTAGTGATATTGTTCTCTTTGAGCGAGGCAGTTTAATTGAAAGCTTCTACTATCGCTATGCTAAAACACCACACAGGTTTTCATACAGCAAAGTATAAGATGTTAATTTCTTCAGAACTATAATGAAAGCTTCATAATTAAACTATCTAGGTCAGAGAACACAACCCTAACTAAAAGTATCCATTTAAGCTGCATATCTCTTACATCATTTCAAAACAATTGTCACAATTGGTCAATACAACATATTTTGTTTTATTTCATTTGAACACATAGATATTGGTACAAGCAGGCACCAAATACATATGCATCATACAACTATATCAATGACCTAAAATTCTTAGATTATTTATTAAGTAATAATTCTGATTCTTAAAAAAACCTCATATCAACCAGTCAAATAAAAGAATGAGAGAATGTCTCATTTACAATTCACATTGTAAATGCCCTGGTACGGCCGAGAGTAGAGAGAATCCGCTCTCCCGCTCGAAATGCTCTCACATGGCCACGCTTATATAGCCTCTGCCATGGAAGTCCTATTCACTGCATTCTCGCATCACGGGTGTTGTTTACGAAAATGAGAGGACGAAAAGCGAATTTCCGGCACCGGCTTTAACCGGATCCCAAACCAGTGGTGCACATGGTATCCTGCGGGAACAAATGGCGTATGGACCAATCGTTGGTCACCGACTACCATGGGACTGCATCTCTTTACGATGCTCCACTGCCTTGTGGGTCAGACGTTCAGGTCAAAGGCTCCGGGTGTGGCCCCCTAATAAAACCACCTGCTTCGGTTTGGGCACCCGGGCAGTATCACAGCCCTCACACATATATCAAATGAGATTTGTGCGGTGCATATGTATTTGGTGCCTCCTTGTACCATTATCTATATGTTCAAATAAATAAACAATTCACATATGCTTTTTTTTTACAAATTCCTCGACACTTCACACTACTACTACTACTACTACTACTACTACTAGTAGTAGTAGTACAACTCATCACATTAAACTTACTTCAAATGGATATGTATAATTATGTAATGTATAGTATAATAATACACGTAAAATATTCATATTTTCAGTAGATCTTCTACCTAATCCAAATATCAATAATCTGACTAGACGACAAGAACAATAATAAGCAGATGTTAAAATCATTTCACCAATTAAACGTGGTATAAAACCCTTAAATAATAGAAGAAAACAATAAAGAAAAATATCAAGTAAAAATAAATATTTTATAAATAAATATAAATAAAATATGACTATGATATTAGTTCATGAAGTCATTGACAACTGGACTTAACCATCTTAATTAATATAGACTATCTGCTTGAAGTTCGTATGATTATCGTAGTCAATGGTTAAAGATTATTAAATCGCAATACAACAAATCATTTGTTGAACAATCATTACTATATATCAACTTCCTTGACTATGAGAAAGTAGATAGGAGAACCTTATAGAACCTTATTTGACACTATACAGTACCTGAAAAACAATCTTCAATATCATACGGAATTAATACGACAGATTATATTGAAAAGTGATGACTGGAGGATAGCTGATAGACGCATTCCAAGTGAGGACCGGTGTTAGACAAGACTGCCTACTCTCCCCATTTTCGTTTTCCTTCTGGTAGTTCATTGGATTATAAAAACCTCAACATCTGAGGGAAAGTGTAGAACACAATACTATCTGAGTAGTACATGTTTGTATATTTAGCTTTGAATTCTACACTTTTTATATACGATGGTGACCTGAATCGAAGTGCAGGAAATGGATGCAAATCTGTAATCATATATTGTATTTTTTTAAAGCCAATCATTAAAGGAGAGAATGAGACAGGAATCAATAAAATGTACCTGGAAAAATCCTAAAATACCATTTTCACGGTAAACAGCTCGAACAGCCATAGGAAAAAATGTATACTGAGTCTCCTTGCCAATCAAAGCTGCAATCTGTCGAACAGTAATCACTAAATTAATAAAATATAGACTATTATGTGATTTCTAACATTTTAAAAGATAAAAAATTAAAGAATAAGAATCAGTAGATGTCTAAAATATCTTTTTGTGTGGTCTACAATCTCTATATAATATATATACTTTACCTGTTAATACATATAAACGTTCTTGAATAAGTTGCATGTTGAGTGGTCTGTGTAACTCTTAAACCTTACCACTAGAGCTGTGAATTTAGAATCTAGTAAAGATAATCTGCTGAAAATCTTATGCAACAGATTTATCTATCTTAACAATAAGTTGAAAGAAGTCTGAAAAAGGCTATATAACAACATGATACTAGTCTACAACATTAGTCCCGGCTGTGTAAAAAGCTAGAGACTTCCAGGTAGGATTGCGTGAGATTCTCGTAATTGGTGATTAGAGAACTTTAGGTGGCATATCTATAAATTAGTTGCACCACCTTCAACACAAAGGACGAGTACATGGCTCGGCAGCCAACTCTCTATTAAATCGAAAACGTAAATTGTGTACGTTATTGGTTTATCTTGGTCAGGAGGCTTCTAGTATTAACTTGAAACCAGCTACCATCGTGCTTCAAAGTAGGTGGAACGGTATACATAACATGTGTTCCAGCCACCTCAATCGATGAAGACTCACTACTTCATAAATCGATTCACCATTTATAACTAGTAGCCTACTTTTGACCCGACATAGCTTGCTCAGTGATCTAGAAATGCTAAGCAAGCATCTATGACCAAAAGGAACGACCGTGAGCAGTGGTGAGCAACGAAAGCAAAAGAGATGGAAAATGCGGCGGCTATAAAGAACACAAGACAACTCTACAGACTAGTAAAAGAAACTGGAATTAATCAGTCAAGTGTAAGTCAGACTATTTCGAAAAAAACAGCACTCTCACATGCTCCCAGTCCAGACGTTTAGAACGATGGGTGGGACATTTTAGAGAACAGTTTAGCTGGCCTTCAGCTACTCTACAACTACCCTCTATTCCCAAACAGTGTGAATGGAACATTGAAGTAGGTCCCCCAACTCTAGCTGAAGTTCAAAAGGCTATAGCTAATCTGAAACGAGGAAGGGCAGCTGGTCCGAATGGATTGGCCCCAGAGGTCTTTAAGGATGGTGGTCTAGTTTTAGCGATTAGGTTGACTAATATTTTAGCTAAAATCTGGGAGTTAGACGTTATCCCATCTAACTGGTCACAATCACTTATCGTCCCAATATTTAAGAAAGGGTCGAAATCATGCCGTGACAACCATAGAGGGATTAGTTTAACTAATATAGTATCTAAAATACTAGCTTCGATAATTTTCGGACGCCTAACTAAGACTCGTGAACTACAAACACGAGAGAATCAAGCTGGCTTCAGACCTGATCGTGGATGCATAGACCACATATTCACCATTCGTCAGGTTCTAGAACACAGGCATACTTATCGGCGTACAACAGTGGTGGTCTTCCTTGACTTAAAAGCAGCGTTTGACTCTGTGGATCGAGAGGTTCTGTGGCAGTGTCTGTCATTCAGATGAGGACTCGCTGGTCGCAGGACGGATAACGGGGGACGTCTACTGCAACTGTGCACAGACCACAACCTGTTTCTGGCTAGCACTAACTTCCAGCATAGTCATCGCTGATGTGTCAACTAGCACCCTCTCTCTGCATTTCAAGCCTGGACTCAGATTGATCACATCGCGATCAGCTACCGCTGGCGTGGTTGTGTACAAGACTGTCGCTCCTTTTGGAGTACCTATCTGGAATCTGATCATGCTCTGGTCTGCGCCAATCTTACCTTACTTTTCAGTGGCCAACGAAGTGACCGCCACCAAAGGATTGATGTTAGCAGGCTGGCTGCAACTTCTGTTGCTAGTAAGTACCGAACCGAGCTAGCTTCTAGGCTAGCTATCATTCCACCGAAAAGTATAGATGAGCATTAGTTGGAATTGCATGACGCCATGAAAATGCCGGGTACAATCTGTTGTGGGTTCGCGAAACGTCCCGCTTATAAGCACTGGGTTTCTTCTGGTTCCTTACAACTGATTGAAGCCCGTCGGTCTACTCCGGGTGACCGTGAGTTTGACCACAGACGAAGGATGTTAAGTAACGAAATTGGGCAAAGCTTACGTAAGGACCGAGAAGCCTGGTGGTTGGAGCGTGCTAATGAGCTGGAAGCAGCAGCTGCATCTGGTAATTACCGGAAGCTCTTCCAACTCATCCGAGCCACTGGCAGCAAGAAGTCTGGTGTGAGCGAAACAATCTGCGAGGATGACGGAACGCCAATCACTAACATCCATCGACATCTTGGACGATGGGCAGAATTTTTCGAAGGGCAGTTCAACTGGTGTGCTGCTCCGGCAACGTCGGTCAGACTGTCCTGCCTTCCATGGCCAGTGACGACTGATCCACCAAATGAGGCGGAAGTCCGCAAGGAACTCCAACTTTTGAAAAGTTATAAATCACCGGGCCCAGATGACTTATTTCCGGCTCTTTTTAAAGATGGTGGTGACTTTCTGACTAAGGGACTGACGACGTTGTCTACAAAGGTCTGGGAACTAGAGAGTGTACCAACGTCATGGAATGAGTCGATAGTTGTCCCTATCTTTAAAAACGGTTCACGTCGTTCCTGTAACAACTATCGGGGGATAAGTCTACTTTCAATTGCGTCCAAGCTATTGGCTTCCATTATACTTCGTAGGTTATTCAAAACCCGAGAAAGATTGACTCGCGAGGAGCAGGCTGGGTTTCGTTCTGGTCGAGGATGGATTGATCATATCTTCACCCTCCGCCAAGTGTTAGAACACCGCCATACTTATCAAAGGCCATAAATCGTAATGTTTCTTGATATCAGGGCTGCCTTCGATTCGTTGGACAGAACTGTTCTCTGGGATTGTCTATTGAAGAAGGGTGTGCCTGAGAAGTTTATTAACATCCTAAAAGCCCTATACACAAACACCTCAGGCAGAGTGAGGGCATACAACCACCTTTCTCCACTATTCCATTCAAGCAGTGGAGTTAGGCAGGGTTGCCCAATCTCACCATTCAACTTTGCCATCGATGACATTCTGGAAACAGCTCTGGCGGATGTAAGTGATGGTGGTGTGGATCTGTTGCCTGGAGAAAGACTTCTCGACCTTGAGTATGCGGATGATATTGTCTTACTGTGCGAGAATGCCCGAGCCATGCAATCCGCACTTAATCAGTTGGCAATCAGTGTCCGTAGGTATGGTATGTGCTTTGCACCTTCGAAGTGCAAAGTACTTCTACAAGACTGGTAGGATTCTAATCCTGTACTCACTCTGGATGGCGAGCAGATAGAAGTAGTCGAGAAGTTCATGTATCTAGGTAGCTGCATAAGTGCTGGTGGTGGCGTGAGTGTTGAGATCAATGAACGTATAGTGAAAGCCAGAGCGGCTTATGCCAATCTGGGCCATCTTTGGCGCCTTCGTGATGTTAGTCTGGCTGTAAAAGGTCGGATCTACAACGCGTCGGTGAGAGCAGTTTTGCTCTATGCTTGTGAAACCTGGCCTCTCTGAGTTGAGGATGTTAGACGACTCTCTGTGTCCGATCATCGTCGTATCTGAAGGATTGCTGAAATCTAGTGGCAACACCATGTTAGTAATGCAGAGGTTCGGCATCGAGTGTTCGGGCACAGAAACAACAATCCAATTGGTGTCACCATCTTGAAGCATCAACTTCGGTGGCTTGGACATGTTCTACGAATGTCGTCCCAGAGAATTCCTCGTCGTGCATTATTTGCCGACTCTGGGACTGGTTGGAAAAAGCGGAGAGGTGGTCAGTGTATGGCATGGTGTCATGGTATGAAAGAAAGCTGCAAAGGGCTGGCTTCTGTTGGTCCTTCACGACTCCCTGGCTGGGGTCCATGAGATGGTGTAACACAGTGACTAGAGACGTTATCAGATATGGCTCAGAATAGAATCCAGTGGAGATCCTGCTATAACCTTCTTTTACTTTCTTCATAAAAAGTGGCTGTATCCTCCGTAATGTAAGATTTCTTCTGAGTGTACCTTTCCGTCTCCCCCCATTATTGTTCTTTTTTTTTATTTTATAATCCCCTACGTTCCTTACATTTTTTTCCCTTAAATTCACATTGTTTTGTGTGGCGCATATATATTTGGTGCCCCCTTGTACCAATATTTATGTGTTCAAATAAAATAAATAAAATAACTGTCTGTCATTAAAAGGCGTACCTCAGAAGTACACAAACCTTGTGAAGTCTCTTTACTCGAACACTACTAGTCGAGTCAGAGCTTATGGCGAACTGTCATCCGCTTTTGCAACCTCAAGTGGTGTCCATCAAGGCTGTCCACTTTCTCCATTTTTGTTTAACTTCATCATAGACATACTGATGGAAATAACGCTCTCATCGACTGAATTCTCGGGCATCGATCTCCTATCAGGAGGTCCACTTATCGACTTAGAATACGCAGATGATATAGTCCTGTTTATGAAGACGCTGATGAAATGTAGTCTTTTGGTAGCACTGAACAACAATGCCAGAATGTTTGGGATGCGCTTCTCTCCCTCTAAATGCAAGTTGTTGCTCAAGGACTGGTCTGCGTCAACACCAGAATTAAGGATAGGGAGTGAAGTAACCGAACTCGTTGACAACTTCACTTATCTTGGAAGTCTGATCAGCCCTAATGGGTTGGTGTCTGACGAAATCTCAGCACGGATTCGAAAAGCTCGCTTGGCCTTTGCCAACTTACGTCATCTATGGCGAAGGCGAGATATCCGTCTATCAATTAAGGGATGAGTATACTGCGCGGCAGTTTGTTCCGTCCTGCGAAACATGGCCTTTGAGAGTAGAAGATATTCGTAAGTTACTAGTATTTGACCACAGGTGCCTTAGAAATATTGCTCGCATCTGCTGGGATCACCGGTTAAGTAGTAGTGAGGTTAGACGCAGCGTATTAGGGTATGATGGTAAATCAGTTGATGAGGTTATGAATCTTCATCGACTGAGATGGTTGGGCCACGTGTTGCGTATGCCTGAACACCGATTACCACGACGCGCAATGCTCACTGGTGTTAGGGATAATTGGAAGAAAGTTAGGGGCGGCTAAACCAAAACGTGGCATCGGTGCTTGAAGTCACTAACTTCTGGTCTGAACCATGTTGGTAGATGCAGACTGCCTGGTTGGGGTTCACGTGACTATCGTTGCCAATAGTTGGAGACTCTTGGTGACATGGCTCAGAATCGATCACAATGTCGTCGGTGTATACACTCTCTGTCTTCCTTCAAACTAAGAGATTAAAATCACTTCATATCTTTCTTTCTAGGAACTAATTCTTTCTACCTGTACTATCTCCTTATACACAATCTTTCTTCTATATATCACCACCATCGAATTAACTACTTCTATGAATTTGGTGTTCATCTTGTTGTGCTAATGCGGTATGGCAACTTGGACCGATGCATATACGTGCCTGGTCCTACGTTGCGACTGACTGACTGACTGATGACCAAAAACTAGTGGTCTACGAATATCCTCTATTTCTCTAAGTTCATATTTTACGGCTATAAAGTAAAATAAATAGGACTACTGCGAAGTATACTTGCTCCTTTGTTGGTAGGAAGGTATTCCACTTAAACCACAAGTGACGTAAGTTGGTGGAAGTGAAGTTTCTAGATCCATGCCGAGATTTCTCCAGACACCAACCGATCAGGGTTTGTGAAACTTACAAAATAAGTGTTGATAATATATTTTAGTTCCTCCAAATACTTTTGTCCGAAATTCTCATATCCTTAAAATAACCAACTGGATAAAAAGATCTGGACAAAAAAGAATAAGTACGAATTCACACCAAATAATACCATTCTTTGAACTATATTTAGGTCTTGATTTTGAGTATTTCCTCATACATTCCTTTTTATTTCACGTTTTTTAACCATATTTCCAGTGTTTAATCGTTCGCATTACCATTTTACTACTAGTACTTGGACTCCTTAGCTACTCATATTGTTAATTTCCTTTCGTTGCGTTGATGTAGTATGGAAACGTGGGCCAACACATTTGTGCCAGGTTCTACGTCCTGACTGACTGACAAACTCTTTGGGTTGAAATTCCAAGCTACTCGGTATGAAACTCTGCTTGACTTAAGTTTCTTGACAGTTGGGATTTGTCAGAAAGGTGTAACTGTAATATTTTGGGAACGTGGTCACGGGGCAGTCAATAATCTCCTATAGGACTGAGAAGTTTAAACTGGTCGATCACTGGATAGGTGACCAATGTCATGTTTATCTATTCCTTAGTGATGATTAAATTCCGTCGATAGAGTTTCAATGAATTTATTATCCTACGTGGCTCGACATCACGAGCACTATGTTTTGACATTAGGTGGTCGGTAAAAAGCCGTAGACCTGAGTACCGTGCTAGTTGGTACTCATTACCAAGGGATGCCTGAATATAATAACAATCAGATGATAGATACATACGTACATACACGTTAAGGTTGATATGACAGTTTGTTCTACGAAAAATGGTATATGCAAAAGAAATAGAAGTATACAAGATTAAATAGAACATACCATAAAATGGATGACTAACTACGACTTCCCAAAGTTTCAGTGATAATATCTCAGTAAATCTTTCAAAGAAAACTGAAAGTCTTGACTCTTCCAAAAGTCTTTCAGCCTGAAATTCTTTATTGGTTTGTTGATTAGTAGTAGTATGCATGAAGATCTGTTTTTTATTGTAAAAATTATTTTCTGTTCGCATCCATATATTTGTTCTTCGTCTAAACGCTGCACGAAATATTTCCACAATAAAATCGTGTGTAGCATTTGCAAACAATCCTGTTGACAACACATTCCAAACACCTATTGTTTTCATTAAATGATAGGTATACTTGAAGAAATTCGGATAAACATAAATTGGAGATGATAAACCGAATAGAGCAAGAGGCGAATTGAACTGAACTGGTGCCAACGGTTCATAGCCTAACTTGATAAGAGTCCAGGCAACACGAAAAGGATTAGCCAATTGTCTCAAGAAGTAAACTTCAATGCCAACTACAGGTTGCTGTTCTACGTAAGGTGCAATTGTACACGATACATGTTGTGAAAATTTATCAGTATCACTGTCAATCATGGAGTCTAGGAAATAGACAAAAATATAAATAATTTATATAGTATTTGTCATGCAAATGAAAAACTAAGATTTAAAATATGTTTACCATGTCACTATATTACACCATCAAATGATAAATTGAAAATAAATTGAAATTGAACAAGTTAAAATAATGGTCAGTTATTACTAACGTGGAACCATGGATGAGTGTGTTTCGGTCTAAGTTGATGCGCCACTAAATGAAGCATAGGAAGGGGAAATTTTTCAAAACTAACAAAAACTTAAACATGAGAAATGCATTCCAAACGAAACAAATGGAACCATAAACTGAATAGTCAAACATAATACTAAACAGACGTTTGAGAGAAATATACAAAATAAGTGCAACTGCTCCATTTTGACTGAATTACGACCAATATTGTTTGGATTATCTGGGATTATATTTGCAGATGATGGAAAAATTCCGGAAACGAGTAAACCGTTTCCTCCTGCTTCATCAAAGAACGCGAAGTCTTATTTATTTCGTATTTTAAATAATGACTTGGGTACTAAGCTGTCCCGTCTTATTCTTTCTTTGAGTAAAATCCACCTCTGAAAGTTTAAAAGTCATGATCGAATACTACCCTCTCCCCACAATACTTGGATGCTACCTCTTATCTTAATCATTTGGTTTATGTACAAATCTAAACATGTGGTATAATCTATAGACCCTTTATCAAGCTTTTCTTTATACAATCTTTTAGACTTGCGCATGGTCGAGGCACAAGTATTCCGAACTTCTTGATATCGAGATTTTATTTCGCCACTATCCAGCAACCTAAATCTCTTCCATAAGTAAATAGTTCATCATGTTTCGTTGTCTCCGAAGGATTGCTGAAATCTAGTGGCAACACCATGTTAGTAATGCAGAGGTTCGGCATCGTGTGTTCGGGCACAGAGACAACAATCCAATTGGTGTCACCATCTTGAAGCATCAACTTCGGTGGCTTGGACATGTTCTACGAATGTCGTCCCAGAGAATTCCTCGTCGTGCATTATTTGCCGACTCTGGGACTGGTTGGAAAAAGCGGAGAGGTGGTCAGTGTATGGCATGGTGTCATGGTATGAAAGAAAGCTGCAAAGGGCTGGCTTCTGTTGGTCCTTCACGACTCCCTGGCTGGGGTCCATGAGATGGTGTAACACAGTGGCTAGAGACGTTATCAGATATGGCTCAGAATAGAAGCCAATGGCGATCCTGCTGTAACCTTCTTTTACTTTCTTCATAAAAAGTGGCTGTATCCTCCGTAATGTAAGATTTCTTCTGATTGTACCCCATTATTGTTCTCTCTCTTTTTTTTCTCCTTTCTCTTCAAATTATCATTGTTTTGTGTGGCGCATATATATTTGGTGCCCCCTTGTACCAATATTCGTGTTCAAATAAATAAAAATGAAAAAATAATAAATCTCTTCCACCTTCTCCTCTTACGGAAGCTATGGACCTCATCACTAAACCACAGTTGCGAGCTTCTCGGATAATCCGGTGTAGTACAAGAAATGTGCGGTGCAGTAAACTTTGTGCAAATTTCTGAATACCTTTTAGGTCGTGTCAACGGGGGGTTCTGGTTCTAATATCCAATCTACTGAGTGCATAATTTCTTCTATATCTGCTTCAAAATGTTTGATTTAGCTTGAGCTGCTCATCGTTGTTGACAACGATGTGAAATCAAAGACTAGAACTGCATGGTCAATATTACCTACGGGTAACATACGCCACTTTCTGAATGACATTTGTAGCAACCCAATCAACCAATAAATGGGAAATAAAGATGAAAAAAGTGAAACGCGCCAAAATGTCTGCTTTTTCGACTGTCCGGGGGAAATAATGCAGAATTCCCCTTCTTTTTGCTGTCTCTCATATGTCGCTGAACTGTCTACTTTTCGCCTAAATACACGCCGAATTGTCTACTTTTCGCCTAGCCTATATAGGCTAGATATCGATAATTGCTTTTTGGGCTATCTAGTCATCAGCCAGCTGTTTAAAAATAGCAAAGGCACTCAAACACATAGATACGAAGGCTGATAACCAGCAAAAAAGGTAAACTATGGTATACTAAGTTCAAAAGTGTAACAAACAGAAACAAAACTGGTGAACTCGATTAAAGAACGTGTGCAAAATTCCTTTTGAAAAGTAAATATATCTTTGGTAATGTTTCAACTGAAGTTAGTTCAATTAAAGTGAAAACGGCGGTCTTGATGCGTAATGAACAATCAAAACTATAGATCTACCACCGTACTTTTAAATAAAGCTCCCTTACTTTAGTAATAAGATGTTCGGCATCCTCAAGGTCGTGCGGTCAATGTTTCTGAAGGAATGTTCGCATGGATATTGCTTTCGAATTGGCTTGTGAAGCACTCAAATGTAACGAAGTTCCAGTAGGATGTGCTTTTGTTTATAATGGAGAAGTGATTGCATCTGGTCGCAACGAAGTAACTGATTAGTAGGAGTTTTGTGATTTCTAGGTGAATGCAACTAGAGATGCTACTCAACATGCTGAGATGGTGACTATTAGACGACTGGAACAATGGTGCCGAAATAACGGAAAGGAGCTTGACAAGGTTTTGACCGAATGCGACCTTTTTGTTACAGTGGAACCCTGCATTATGTGTGCGTCTGCTATACGTTCAGTTTCAAAGGGTTTCAAGTAGTTCTGGGTGGAATAGAAGAAGCTTTTGCTTAACTGACGTAGCGGTAAATAAACACTCAAAATCAATGGCCCTGTTAGTCTTCGACATTTGATGCTGACCACATTAGCGCTGAAGGCGCTCGGACACGCTTCCTCACCAGATCACCAGTGGGAACGCCGTGCTCGACTTCTCCTGTAATCTTTGGCCAATTTCGATCAGTTGCTTCTCGACGTATTGATAACATATCAAATATATCTTCGAAACTCCTGGCTTCTGACTTTCGATTTCACTGGGTGAGCACTATTTAATTATAGGTGTTACTGATTAAATTGTTGCCAAACTACAAACACTTGTGGTAATATTCACTAGTGAGCCGACGTGATCTGGTACACCGACTCGTAAACTGTGAGTCTATTCGTTTTTGGAACTTGATATATCATTGATTTACTTAAAAATTTATATGCTATGATACTTTCACGTATTTTTGGATCTTTTTTCACTCGTTCATTCCTGTTCTTCATCTTTGCCATAACAGAACTGTCTCCTAAGGGTTTTAAGATCAATAGTCTGACACTACCCTCATTCTAGCTAGTGCCATGCTGGCCGGACAGCATCGGAGCTCGGTTCTGCTACAGAGACGCTGACTTCTACGAGCATGATGTGACCGATCCACATGCACAATTCCACGTAGTGGTAAAGGCACTACCGCGCGGATTCAGCAGGTACGTCACATGTAGTATGTTTACTAGTGATGTTTCGGAACCTTATAAAACTGTGAAACGGACTATTCTGAAACGCGGAGATCTAACAGACCGACAAAGGTTAGATCAACTCCTCGATAACACCGATCTTCAGCATGGCTTAGCAACTGACACGTTGTTACGAATGAGAGAATTAAGTGATCAAGGGACTTTCGACGATGACCTGTTTAGACAACTTCTCTTGTCTAACCTTCCTCAACAGGTGCAAGCAGTGCTTGTTTCGTTTCAAAACAACGCCTTAGACGAGCTGGCTGCATCTGTCAACCTCAATCTGGAAGTAACCAAATCTTCTAACTCCGATGTTTTTTCAGTCAAAGAAAAACCTCAAGCAACACAGAATGACATTACGGAACTATGTCATACGCTGACACGTTACCTTCGTATTCGTAATGACCGTAAACGATCACAAACCTATCGAAGTTCTTCACGTAAACGATCTGTCTCTAGACCACGAGAGACAGATAACCCCGACTGGTGCTGGTATCATAATCAGTACGGAAGACCTCCTCGACACTGCAGAAAACCCTGCAATTTTCCGGATTCCAAACCGACCGACACGTAAAACATTTCGGGAAACTTCCCGGCCACTACGCGTTAACGGCAACCGTAGCCAGTGAACATAGCCGTCTATTATACGTCAGTGATGTGATTACGAAAGTTGGCTACCTCGTCGACACCGGTGCAGAAGCTATCATTCTACCGGAAAATTTTAAAAAGCGACCGCTCGAACCGGTTTTAAATTTACGGGCGGCAAACGGAAAACCGATTGCCATATATGGTAAGCCGTATGTCTATCTTAATATGGGTTTACGCTAACCCATTCACTGAATTTTCGTTTTTGCAGATGTTTCTTTGCCAATCATTGGTATAGACTTGCTACAACGTCATAATTTACTCATCGACACGCGCAAGCGGAGGTTAGCAGATGGAAACACCTACTTATCTGTTTGCGTAAGGTTTTTCTGGCTGTAGATTATCCCCAGTCACAGTAAGGCACACGATCGATCCATACTACGGACAAATACTCGATGATCACCCTGAGATATACCAGACGCAACCGAGATTGCCGTGTGTAACCAGTAATGTTACACATCACATCATGCTACAGGATCCCCTGAATTTTCGAAGGCGGGCCGAGTAGCTCCCGAAAAATTGAGATTGGCCAAAAACGAATTGGATCACTTGATAGATTGAGGAATCACTCGGCCATCTTACTCCAACAATAAGTTATTTTTCTTAATTTTTTACTTTTTGTTACTAATTTGGCGATACATACATAGTCGTTTATTCTTTTTCTGCATTCATAAAGACTTCTATTAAACTAATTGCGTATTTCACATTTCCTTTTAATTCTATTCCCTTATTTTCTCCCTATCCTTCTTTGAAGTTAATTCAATATTCTTCCCAATTAAACAGAACCTGATTTATTATTATTAATCTATTATCATTGTTACCTTTTTTTCTCTTTTTCAAATATGGTAAATATTGGCCATATGGCTTATAATGCTAATAGGGGCCAGAATACTTTTAAAAATGAGCCAAGAAAATTAAAATGCCACTATTAAGAGCACAATGACGTATATTCACTTCAGAGTATACTTAAATTAATCGACAGAAATGCTTCATCCAAACCCAAGTATTTTATGAATATAGAAAATAAAGCCCTACGTAGTAAAAGCTCAGAATTATCAATACTTCGGCTCTTTAAATCCTGTGTGAAATCAAACTCCCTTGTCACGACTAAATTCTTCATAGTTAACGGAAGTATTGTTGACGATCCTAATATTATTTGCGAACAATTCAGCAAGAACTTCTAGCAATGCTACAAAACTGGAACTGAAAGCTCTATCATTACATTCCTAATGCTGACATCCAGACACCTATCGAAAATTAATTTTATACCCTCCAGCATCAAGCAGGCCATAGCTGCTCTGAAAGTTTTATGATGGTGGACCTGACGGGATCCCTTCATCATTTGTGAAAAATGGGAGTAGAGAATTCCCACTATTTTGTTTGAAACTTTTCAACCTATCTATGGAATATGGGACCTATCCATCTGTATGGAAAACATCTCTTATCACCCCTAGGTTCAAAACAGGATCACGTAGTGATATTGTTAACTATAGGCCAATTAATTTAACATCCGTGCTCTCAAGAACCATGGAAAAAATCATCCACAAACAGCTGTTATCATTTTTATTTCGGCTAGTCTGATTAGCCCGTCCCAACACGGGTTTGTGACTAAACACTTATGTTTCACATCGCCCCTGGAATTTTTTGACCAAATTACCCAGAGAAGAGATGTTAGTCAGTCAGTGATAGTTCTTCACTTCGATTTTAGTAAGGCTTTTGACAGTGTCTCACACAAACTTCTTCTAAAACTCTCTGCACTTGGCATACAGAATCCCCTTCTATCTTGGCTCAAATCTTTTTTAAAAGAATGGAGCCAAATCGTTCGCTTTGGATATTGCTACTCTAAACCTGTGAATGTAACCAGTGGGGTTATACAAGGAAGTGTGATTGGTCCATTACTCTTTCGCCCTTTTATCAATAACGTGTGTTCCCTCTTTCAGTACGGTAAACCTTTCCTTTTTGCCAATGACCTAAAAGTAGTTTATTCATCCTCTTCTCCCACCGAAGAAAGCTATATTTTGGCGGCAATCCAAGAAGAAATAAACAAGTTGTACGAATGAACTGTTACGTGGAATTCGCCACTTAATGTTGATAAAGGTGGATTTATTCACATTGACCACTGCTTTAACTTAAATCCGACTATACACAAACATACACTGAAACCCCTCAACACTGTTCGTGACTTGGGTTTAAGATATAGCAACAATCTGAACTTTTCTGAGCACATTGCATCTTAGGTATCCAAAGCAAGAAAGCTCATCGGATTCATAATAACAAACTTCAATAATACTGAATCGAGATTATTATTATGCAGAAAATGTATCTTACCCATTCTTAAATATGGTATTTTAGTTTACAGTAATTGCAGGCACAATGACCTGATTAAAATTGAAGGTGTTCAAAGAAGGTTCACCAAAGCTGTTCTGGGGTATTCCGACAACAAAGACTATCACCAAAGATGTCAAAAACTCAAATTAGAACCTCTCTGGATCAGACGTATCAAATTAAACCTTGTCTTTATCTACCGGCTTGTTAACGGTATTTCCTACTCTTCGGTATCCACCCCTTCATACTCTACGATATCCCAAAATCTACGCAATAAGGAAAATATTTTAACGATTCCAAGATCTCACACAAACTTACGCCATAATTTATTCGTTATTTGCTACTCAGTCATGTGGAACAGACTGCCAGTGAACCTCCGTTGCAGTGAAACTACAACCCGGTTCAAAAGTCTCTTTGATGATTTTCTTTCCGAAAGTGGATTGTGTCACTTATTGAATATCAATGTATTTACTAATGATTTATACAAACAAGGTCCGCCATCCATCTAATTGACTGAAAAGCAAGATGCAATTCCTGGAATTTTCAGCGTCTATTTTACTTTATTTTCTTTCTGTTCATCTTAATATGTGAAGTGTGCTTATGTTCGTATCTAAAATTATTACTGTTAATAATATCATTATTGGTTCCATCGACACATAAGATATGCTTTTCATCTCTTTTTATCCTTCCAAACATATATTATTCCTGAATATCCAAAGTCTATAACTAAAAACAAATTATCTCACAGTACACTTAAATAAGTTTACTTCTCTAATTCATTTTACCTTCATCACATACATATTGATAACACATAGAAATTTATATTTGATTATCTTTTACAATTAATCGTGACTTTTATAGCATCATTCTTAATTATAATTGCACAAATGTTTATATTAATATCCGGTTATCACTCTATA